GTGGAACAGACTCTCACCCCAGCTTGCTGCAAACTAAATGTTCATGTAAGACAAACCCTTATTAATTATTTAGCGCGTTGTACTATCTTTTAGCCTGCGTGCTTAACTTCAGTTGAACACACTTGGAACTTGAGTAGTTTTGATGTTCAGTGCCACAGAGATTTTTTTTAAATATAGGAGAAGCAGAATGTATGTTTGTTTGAACAGAGTTAATTTCACATCTAATGTAAGATCACTATTTTATGTAAGATTGAATCCTTGTTAAATGTAATGACCAGTTTTAATTCTACATATTTCTTGTTTCAGTTGTTGGAAAAGTCTTAGAAATTACTGAACTGCCAGAAGGAATAACTCGTATGGAAGCTGAAAAACTATTTGGAGAACTTTTTAAAGTTGGTGCCAAGATTCGGTGGCTAAGGAATCCCCAGTGTCTACAGACGCAACAGCAACACCAACGCCATTACTGTGGCAGTGGAGATAGTAATGTGAACACTGAACCCTCCAAACCTAGTGACTTGGCCTCCACATATACAGTTCTAGCTACATTCCCTACGATGTCAGCAGCCCAAAATGCACTGAAGAAACAAAGTAACTCAGCTAACAAGTTTAGGCTGAGAACAAGCAAGAAGCACTATGAGTTTCATATTCTGGAAAGGGCTAGTTCTCAGTAGCAGCTACATTGTTGGACATTCAGCCTTTATTAGTTCCATGTCATTCTCTTCTCTACTTGATTGGCTTGATGTTACGGGGTTTCTGTTCTCTTCACAGAGACTCCTGGGATGTGTTCTCATATGACATTATAGCCTTGGAAGAATAACCCAGTGATCCAGCAAGAAGAAGAAGAATAGATATAAAGTTAATCCCAGACAACTGTAAGAATCCATTCTGACAAGATAGAGAGGCAGCTTTCTATGAGGAACGCTGTTAAAATGCCCCTTACTTTTATAGTAGTTTTGTTTTATATTTCTGAATTCTTGTATCAGATCCAAATCTCTATTGTACAGCAAACCACTGTTCATAATGAATACCCATATTCAGATCTGTATTTTGTAATCCCTTTTCACAGCCAGCACACAACTATCCATTTTAGGGCAGAAGGCTTGGGGTGGAATGGGGTGAGGGGAGGGAGAATAACTATTAAGAAATTACACTGTTTTTTAGCCAACTACGCAAAAGTCTTCAGTTAACATATTTCTCTTCCCCTGTTTCTTTTTCCAATAAAGCAGTTTCAGTAACTTTTAAACTCCGTACACAGTCCTTTCAAGATTCACTCAGACAGTGTGAAAGATAATTACAAATTATATTCTTGAACTCCTTTCTAATCAAACAGATTAGCATAAGTATTAAAGTGAAATATGAATATGTCTAAACTACAAAGAATGTTCATTGAAGCCAATTTGGTTTTAGTAAAAGGGTGAAGACATTAAAATGTATCTCCCCAAATGACAAAATGTTTGCACTTTGTGTTTCCACTGGTATAAATCTTTTTCTTTCTTTGCACTCTAGGATAATTGTGTTTAAATAAGTGCTGGACCCTTCTTAAGTCATTTAAATATGTTTTCATCATTTGCAGAGGATCACTGGACATCAGAAGTTTCATTGCACATACAAACAAAATCTTTTTTCAATTTCTATGTAATTTGCAAGGCTGTACAATGTGTGCTGATGCAAGCCTTTTTTCAGTTCAAGAAAATAAATGTTTACAAATACAAACTTTTTTCAGTGCATTTGTTTAAACTATAGGACTGTTTGAAACCTAAGTGAATCCATATTATGCCATTTTGCAAGTTTTCCTCATATTTAGGGAACAGTTTAACAGAACTTAGCTTACAACTTGCCTAACGAGAGCCAGACCAAAAAAATTACCTTTTGCCCAAATCTACTCTCCTATGATGTGCTAATTTTTAAGACTTGGTGCATACTTTAGAAAGCAAATCTTACAGCATTGCACATACTTTATATATAATCACTGTTCTTTTAGTTTTTGGATATAGGTATGTGCTGCTATCACAAGTAAATCATAGAAGGCTTTAAGTGGGAATTTAAATGAGGATATGGTGATGGGTTTATGAATATGATGCAGACAGGAACTTTTTTTATGACTTTGGGAAATGGTGCCGGGGACACAGTTGGCTGAGTAAATAGAAAGCTGGTTACAGCCTTGTCTACAAAAGAGGCTACCGCTTCTCCATAGTATTTTTCTAATGAATAAATGTGCCTGACAAAGCCTCGCAGTATTTCCACATAGATTTTATAATCACAAATTAAAACATAAACTGACAGTGTCAAGACATGCCAAAAAATAGCAAATAGAATTTAAATTCCACCCCTTGCATGTTAATAATGAGACTACCCACAAGAGGTCAGATTCATTTAGGTGGAAGATCATGGCAGCATATTCGAAGATTCTGCTTATGGTCTCCAAATACCTGCCAAACTGGATAGGCAAGTTTTCCCACATGGCAATAAAAATTGGCCCTTAGAATAGGATCAGATAAAATTTAACTTGAATCTAACCTGTTTCCCTGAAAGTGTGTTTTCTTGACATTTCTTGAGAGCGCCCAAGCGGTCTTGATGTCCAAACCCTATTTACTTCCCCTGTAAAGAGAGATTCAAAGGAGAAGTAAGCCATAGGAAGAACAGCTGACCTGCTTAGTGGTCTGTGGCTAGGCTCCGCAAAGGAGGAAGGTCAACACCTTACTGTCCCAGATGCTGCAGGATGTAGCATTCTGCAGGTCTTTAGGACATTCAGCAGGGTCACTGGGTTTCTACAACACAGAGGCCTGCAAATTAAGTTTCAAGGCATGGATCAGGCATTGGTGTGCACATGGGAACTTAATTCTGTCAAACTGAGAGAAGAATTAATTGAGCTTGAGGTATAAAATGGGATGCTTATTCACCCAACCTAGAAACCAAACATCTGTACCCAAGATGGAATAATGAATTGTGTTAGCTTTCATGTTTCTGTACTCAATTATTCCTTAAAATGTCACATTGACCATGTAGATTGTTTTGAGCAGTCTGCTGTTTGCTATAATTAATCTTGTGGGAACTTGTTTGGTTGTAGGCTTGTTTTGTTCTCCATATGTGTTGTGGACTTATGCACAGGAAACAGTCTCTTTATAATGGAAATTAGTTGCAGTTTTAATTATGAAGTCCAGTTTTAGCTGTAATATAATATTTGCTTAGAAAATCAGTTTGGCCTGGAAAGTGTTGCATTTCGTCCTAAAACCAAGGAGGATGTTTATGTAAAGTTTGAAGGAAATTGGTCAAATCACTTTTCCATTACATGTAATTAAAAATCACCCTGATCTGAAATTTTTATTTTAGTCTGTTTCTTAAGTCTCTTCATCATTTCTTGTGCCAACCTTGTCAACGTTCCCCCAGTTAAATCTCCCCGAAAGCTGATGTTCTGGTTATAGCTGAAGGAAATCCTTCACAATTAAATGTTTTTGTTCTGGATAGTTGTCATTGCTTTCAGTGCAGTTATGGGCTGTAGATTATAGTCCCACATTAGATTTGGATGAACTGTAGTTTTAAATTGTGTTGGGGTATTAGCATGCACAATAAGCTCAAAGCATGTGACCAATACAAATGATATAATGAGAACTGATTAAACTGTAGTGACCCTTCAAATTACCAGTGTTATCCTATTTAAAGTTTGGGCTGAAGTAATAGAAATAAAACATGGTTAATTGGGCACGAGGTATAGTAAATATAAGGAACTGATTCATCTGGCCTTATCGAAGGTCTGATAATTAGCAATGATACCACTTGTTTATTAAGAGGTATAACCACATAAACTCTTAAAGGATTCATTGTTAATACTTGCCTGACCATGTTGGAGCCAAACACTATGGGTCTAAACTCCCCTGGGTTTAGCCAGTTTGTAAGCATCTTGATAAAATGCTTATAAAAGTTTTGTTACTATTTGGGTGTAGTAAATTGCTTATTATTTAGGTTTTTTTAGACATGTTTCAAGCAATTGTATCCATACCATTCAGCACAGGGATTGAACTAAAGTAAAGTTAGTGTTGTGGTAATACTTTGCATAAATAATCGTAATTCCAACATTGGCCCAATCCCTCTGACATCAAGGGGAGGTTTTTGCCATTGATTTCAGTAGAGTGAAAATCTTGGTGATAATGCTTGATCTTAAAGTGACTAGTGATTTTTTGATGGCCTTGATTTTTGACTGCCCAGCTTCTGAAGCCTTTTTAAAGGGTCAGATTTTCATCACTTTCTGAAAATCAAGCTGTTTTAAGGTCTCATATTGGACACCCAAAATTGCTAGTCAGTTTTGAAAATTTTAATCTGTATGTTTGTGTGAATTTTACCCTCTGCTGGCTGAGTGAAAATTAGAAAGATTATAATGGTCCTTCTATTAATAGGGACCTTCTTTTAGTTCAACCAGTACAGCTCTGAGTGTTTAGAGTTGTAGGAGCTGAGTTCTAGTCTTGGCTCTGCAGATTTGTGGTTTATTATGGAGAGGTGGTAGTCTCCCATTAATTAAAGGCTTATTTTGATCCTTCTTGTAACTCCTTGATTTTTCTGGTCATGTTTATTATTAAAGCTCTTTGGGTTGGGGATCTGTTCTTGCTTTGCTGCAAGAAATACTCAAAAAGCATGGAAGTGGGCAGTTTGGTCCCAGAAGACAAACTCGTTTTGATTTATTTCTCCTTTAAAAAAAAAAAAAAAAAAACAGTACTGTTAATGCTGTCCTCCTCACTTGAGCCTTGTGCCCAGCAGAATCATATGCAACTGTAGCAATTGTTCCTGTAGTGCTGAAGAGAGTTTGAATGTCAAATGAGACCAGTGCTGCAAACTTGAGTGTTATATAGGAAAAGCTTCAGGTTGTTGATAGTAATATGGGCTCTAAAATTGATCTAAAGTTGTCTAAAATTAGTCTGTCAAAGAAGGCTGCATGAATGCTTCATGTCCGTTTATTTTTAATTGTATGGTGCAGCAGTTTTCCACCCGTGGCCTCCTACCCCTGGGGCTCTGCAGACTGTCAAGATTTCCAAAGGGGGCTGCACCTCTCTTTGAAATTTTCAGAGGTCTACACATGAATAAAGGTTGAAAACGCCTGAGATCGTGCAAGTGGCGTACAGAGAATATTACAGACCCACGGTAAGTTCCCTTATTGCAGGGGGTTTAGAATCTGAATTACCTAGAACCCAATGAATAGTATCAACACCCCCCTGCTGACAGCCCCGTTCATAGTGAAAACATTCCCACCAGGGACAAGTGAAACTTTCCGCGTGTTACTCGGTGCTGTACAAACCGTGTCCCACCCAGTGCCGCTGGCCACGGCCCAGCAAGTGCCGGAACCCGGAGCCACTGCTGGGGGAGGGGGACTGCCGATGTCATCAGGAGCCAACACCGGCCCCTGGGAAATTTTGCCGAAGCCACCTGCCGTTTTCTCCCGTGTCCGCTCGGGGTCGCTGCCCCCAGGCCGAGGAGGGCTGCGAGCGGGGCAGGGCCATGCAGCAGGCCCCGCCCCGAGCTGGCCGGCAGCCTCCAGGAATCCCCGTCCCTGAACGGGGCGCTCGGGGCAGTGAGAGCCCAGAGAGGGACAATCGGTCCCCGCAGGCGGTGGAGAAGGGCCAGGCCCGCACCACTCTATCCGCCGCGCGGCCGGACAGGGCTGTTCTCCCCCTATGAGGGCGGAGCTGCCCAGGGGCGTCCCCCGCCCACCCAAAGCCTGGCCCGCCCGCCGTTGTCGCTTAGACCCAGCGCCCAGGCGCCTCCTTCCCTACCGTGGTGAATCTGCCGCCCGCACACCCGCTCTGCGTAATGTGTCACTCGCAACTGGGGGAGGCGAGAGGAATGTGCAGGGAGGGAATCACAGCCAGGTTTACCCTACCACCGCCCTACTGAGCAGGGAGCGCATGCGCCCTGGGGGAATTGGGGCGGTTAGTCACCGTTTCACAGCGAGGCTGCAGGTTTTGTGGCGCATGCGCAGCGCGAGGGTGGGTGGCTGGGGGTCCGGGTCCAGGGAGCGGGGGCTTAGGGGGGCACCATGCTGTGGTTCCGCGGCACCATCCCGGCCGCCATCGCCGCCGCCAAGCAACAGAGCTCGGTCTTCGTGGTGTTCGTGTCAGGTACAACCGGCAGCGGGCCTGGGGGAGCGGGGCCCGGCCGTCCGACATAGTCCCCGGGGCAGCCCCTTTGCTGACAGCGCCTGTGGCCCCTGAGAGCTCCCTATTCCGCCCCTCCGGAACCGCCCGCGCAGCCCCAGGCAGGCCCCGCGCCCCCGATACCGTCTCCTGGCCCTGTAGTCCCCTGTGCTACTCTCCGCGCTGCCCAGACAGGCCCCGCGCCCCCTATACCATTGCCTGGCCCCATCGTGCTCCGTACCAGCGGGTTTCAGCCTGTGGTCCATGGGCCCCTGGGGTCTGCAGACTCTGTTTAAAAGATCCACAAAAGGCCGTTACCGTAGGACAGTGGTTTTCCACCTCTGGTCTGCGGACCCCTGGGGGTCTACAAACGATGTCTAAGATGTCCAAAGGAGTCCACGTCTCCATTTGAAATGTCTTAGGGGTCAGCAAATGAAAAAAGGTGGAAAACCACTGCCCTATACCAGTCCCTGTGGTGCCCCAGGCAGACCTCATGCCTGCTATACTGTCGCCAGACCTGGCAGTCTTCTATCTGTGCTGCCCCAGGTAGGTCCCAAGCCCCCTATACCATCACCTGACCCTGTTGTCCCCTATACCACCACCTCTGTTGCCCCAGGCAGCCCCTAAGCCCCCATACTGTCAACTGACCCTCTAGTCCTCTGTACCAGCCTCTGTGCTATCCCAGGCAGGACCCAAGCCTGCTATACTGGAGCCTGACCCTATTGGCCCCTATACCACCCCCTCACCCTATAGTTTCCTATACTGCCTTTATATACCCCTTTGTGCTGCTTCATGCAGTTTCTAGGTTTCCTATACTTTATATGCTCCTCTGTAGCCCCCTGTACTACACCATACAGTTCCCAGGTCTCCTATAATGCTCAATGCTGTGATATGTTCTCTCTACCACCTTAAGCAGTCTCCATGTCACCTTACATTCTCTGTAGTGCACAGTGTAGACTCTACACCCCACACCCCTATACTGCTTCATGGAGTCCCTGGGCCCCTATACAGCTGTCTGTACTATTTAACTATACCAGCCTACAGCCTCTGTACTCCCAAGTGCAGTTTCCTGGTTCTGTTTTTGCAATGCCATCAATAGCTCTTTTACAACTGCTTGCCTGTTTATGCAGCGGTCTCTATTTCCCCATTTTGTAACGTCCTTTGCAGTACTAATGTCCCCAATCACAGCACCCACAATTCTCTCTGTGCTGTCATGCCAGTGCTACAGCATTCCGTGTATATGGTGGTTCTCCATGCCCTGCTCACTTCCAGGCTTCCCCTGTAGGTACTTCAAGCTTTATACTGTCCCTGTTTCCTATCCTGGTCCCCTATATAATTCTGCAGACACTCTTCATCACATCTATAAGTTTTTATACTGTTCCTATGCAGTCTGTATGCTCTTTTGAGTCCTCTATATAGAAGCTGGGAATGAGCAACGGGATGGATCACTTGATGATTACCTGTTCTATTCATTCCCTCTGGGGCACCTGTCACTGGCCACTGTCAGAAGACAGGATACTGGACTAGATGGATCTTTGGTTTGACCCAGTAGGGCCATTCTTATGTTCTTACATTAAACTTTGGGGACAGCTCTCTCATTACCATCGTTACACATGCACACACTGTGTATACTGCTTTACAATCTAGAAAATGTAAGAAATTGGGAGGAGGTGGTTAGGTTCTTATTTTTTACTTTGTCTCCATTGTGTTTGTTTATGAATGATCTTTTTATTTTGATGACTAATAGTTTATATACTTGTGGCTTGAAGGTCTCTGAGCATCTCATACAAAAATTAGCTAAAACTAACCAACCACCACTGCCCAGAACAAATCCTACTACTAGTGTCAAGTAACTTTTTAAAAGAACATCAAAACATGGGATGCATCTACCTTCCACAGATAAAGTCACAAAAGACAATTTAAATAGGTAGTAAAAATTTTTAGGTCTTGGCTGGAATAGTGCTCTTTATTCTGCATCCCCCACTGGGAGGTAGCTATGGATAATGAATGTGGTGGCTAAAAAGTGGGATTGGCTCAGCCCAGCTATTTTATACCCCTCATGTTATAGAGTGAGATGTGATATTGTTTCCTAAGCTTTGAGGGAGCTGTCTGTGGAATTCAGTGTTCTATTGACAAGACATCTTTTTAATGAAGTTTCTTTTATAGCAAAGATCCCAAAATGTTTTACAGATTTATATACAGAGCAAGTGGTTCCTCCCTTGGCTCTATAGTTAGGGATACAGTTATCATAGAATATGTTATGTAAGATCAAATGGAAAGGTAGTTAGTAAACAACATGAAACCTCCTGACATACACATTTTGTAACTTTAGACAATTTACCTGTGAGACATAATGTTGCGACTTCGGTGAAGACTGATTTTTATTTTCCTGCTTGTGACTAAGAAGTTTCCATTAACTTCATGGACATTTCAGCCATTTCAAGGCGCTTCTTGATAGTATTAAATGTATTAACTTGTATTTCTAATGTAGTCCTGTCAAGGGCAACAGGATATCACTTACCATTTATTAGGTTTCCAGTTCAGTTCTGCTGCTCTTTGGTCTCTTTCATTTATGTTCTAAATTCTAAAATGAAGAGCCAAATTTGAATAATAATGGCCATTTACATGAAGTTGCAAATAAAGGAACAGAGGCTGCTGGTTTTAAAGAGCAGGGAGTGCTGGTATGCCTCCATCTAATATAAACTGGTTTGAAACATTAAATAAAGTTAGGGATTGGATTGGAGACTTGCACCAAAAAAAGCAGCCTAGGGAACATGTACCTTTGGGGAACCAAAAGGTTAATCAGTGGCCTCAAATAACTGCTGACGTACTGACTGTACTGCTGTACAGAAGATGCAGTATAACTAATACTAAAAACTGATTCTCCAGAATTTCATAGGTAGCTAACTTGCAGATACAAAGCTTTCTGTTTCACTTTTTGCTGCAATTAATTCCTTTAAAACTAATCCTTCATTTGATGCAAAACTCACTCAGATACGTTTCTGTATTCTGTACTGTCCACATCAGTGTTCTCGCCAGACTATACTTATGTTTCTATGGTTGAGGTGGCACATTCATTTATAAGCCTGAATTTGTAAAGGCTGGTTATTTTTGGAAACAATGCCACTTAAACTGAAACTTCACATGTTTTTATCCTGCCTCAGAGGTGATTTTGGTGATGTCCAAACCTTACAACCAGCCAGGCAACTGGCTGGTTGTAAGGTTTGAACATCAAAATAAATGTTAGGTGCCTTTTAGAAAATACCTACCGAACTGCTTTTCTTGTTTTAAAATAAAAAAAAATTAAAAACAGAAAATATGATTACAATGTTAAGATTGTAATTGAACAAGTCAGGAAATTTGGAATTCAGGTTCTTATAATAACCTTAACCCTAACATATGTGTGCGTTTCTGTATGGCTTTTTCATTACATGGTTTTGAAGTAAGGTATAATAAATAACTGAATTGCTGTCTGACAAATAACTATCATTCCAAGGGCTTCCAAAGCATTTTTCAAATTATATATGGATAGTGCCATTAATGGGATGGAGGCCAACAGTTCAGTAGCATACTTTACAACTGTAGTGGGAGGGGAAACTTTGGACATCACAACAAACCCTTATTATACAAAATTGCCATGGAATTTTTAACCTTAATAAAAAGCCAATAGGACCTTTTCTCATCCAAAAGGTAGAGGGAGAGCAAGAGACAGATTGAGGCAACTGAAATGGAATTCAGTTTACTTAAAGATGAAGGGCGGAGTTGACCCTTCTGAGACTGGAAGCTGTACTTCCACCAAATAGACTTAGTAAATTGTGTACTCTGTTTAAATTGCATTTTTTTTCTATAACTTAAAATGCACCGATAGCACTTTCAATTATCAAAGGGTGTCCAATAAATTGTGAATTTCTCCCATAAAGTCTCAGCTTCAGTTACAGGTGTTATTTCATATTATTTCTTATACTTCAACAAACACATAATCTTCAACGCATTTTAGACTTTGCCATATTCATTGACAAAGACCTGCTGAATACCAAAAGAAAAACAAAGAAATTTTGGTTTAGGACCCAATTAACCACATAATCCTTAAGACCCACTGAAGTACCGTGTTTTGTGTATGGTTATAAAGGATTCGAAAATGAAAAGATTTGAGCTCATTGACAGTTGATGCTGATTATGGAAAAGCTTATTTAACGCCAACAGTGTGTTTGGTGTTTTACAAGACACAGATGATGACTGGAATGGTTCAGTTTTCTACAGTCATTGCATAATGGGGAAAATACACCCATCTTTTCTCATTGTAGATAACTATATTTACCCAGCAAGCTGAAAAGGTCAGTGCTCTCTATTGAGACTATATAAACATTGTAATCATCTGCTAGAAGTACTAAAGTGATACTTTTCCCATCTTAGAAACCTACGAGGTCTCTGACAGCCTAAGGAGCTAGAGTCCCAAGATAGTTCTGCCAGTCGGTAATACTCCTAAATAGTGTACAACATTTAGAATTCCCTTTTAGCTTAATGTCTTGGATCTTCTGAGGCTCATTATATGCATTTGGATTCTTAATCATTGTATTAACCTTTTTATTTCAAAACTTTACTACAGTAGGAAACATTAGATGAACTTTAACCCGGAAAGAGGAAAGGATTATGTAAACAAAAATAGACACAAGATAGAAATCCCCCTCCACTGATGGTTATAGATTTTAAATTAAATGGCATGAGACATGGTTTATGTAATATAGGTTATCAACTTTTTCATGTTTTGGGTCACATTTTATAG